AAAAAAAAATAAAATAGTAATAAAGGTAGAAGAATATAAAAACTAAATTCCTGTACCGAGCAGCAATCATGAGTTCCTGTTCCCCGGCCAACCCCTGTTTATATACTGAGCATGAGGTCAGTGGTATGGAATATTCCTTTGGCCAGATTGTCCTGTCTATGTTCCCACTCAGCCTCTACGGGAAGCTGAAAAAGTCCTTGACTAAGGTAAACATAATTTAGCAACAACTAAAACAATATGTGTTATCAGCATTATTTTCATTCTAAATCCAAAACACAGCAGCTACTGGAAAGAAAATTAACTTTATCCCAACTGAAAGCAGGAGACTGTGAAACAGATTTCTTCAGTGTAAACATTTGAAATAGGAGCCTTTCCCTCAATATTTTTATATCAAGTCTTAAATTTTAAAATCAACTGACAGATCTCTGTACATTCATAATTTCCTAGTGTTTTTTTCTTAATGACAGCAAAACGGTAGATTAGAGTACCTGTTCTTTTTGCCTAATGACAGGTCATGATTCTTGCTGAACTGCGCTTTGTTAATTATTTTTCTGGTTCTTTTAATCTCAAAAATATCTTCTGTCTCCTCCCTCTGATTCCCTCTTTTTTCTTCTTTCTGTTTTTTCTTTGCCTATTTTATTCTTTCAATACCTTTGCTCTTTATTTCTTTTCAGCTACTATGGCTCTGTTCGCCTTCTTTTTTTTTTTGTTGCCTTTGTTTTTCTCTGTCGTTATTGGAGTTGAATCAAAGAATGTTCTGTCACAGTTTTGAAATCTTTCATTTTCTCCTAGAAAATATATGAGTTAAAGCCAGTGGAACTTACTAAAAAAGAAAACAATGTAAAGTTTTATGGCTATGCGAAGTAAAGAGATTTCAGCATTTACATTCAACTCAAGGTTGTCTTGTTAGTTTCAGACAGCTTATTCCAAAGTTTAATTTGATTTTATGATTTTTTCCTGGCATACTTAATGTTGTCTGAAAGTAGGCAAGGTATTTTTGTTCCTTGGGAAAATGAATTCACCAGAAGTTGCCAATATTTCAGAATACCTTCAAGAGTGACAGGATTAAGAGAGCGTTAATCCTTCTGTTTGGAGTGAGCCTTTATTTCTGCATATGTGCTATACACAAGTTTTGCTTTTTCTAGTGTTTTGCTCAGAACGGATAACTTCAGATTCCTGATAAATATTGCTGCCTCCTGAAACCTTTAGGTATTATCTCATTCTTACTCGCATTTTAGAAGGCTCTGTCTTAGATTACCTCTGAAATCCTGACACAATCGCACTGTCTGATCCAGCTGCAACTCCGCTGAGTTTTCCTGTGGGCTGACAGAGAATCAAACTGCTGTTCATGAGCAGATGTGTCAAGTTGTTCAAAGACAGCATCTCTGGCAACGTAAATTCCTCTTTAGGCACCGACTGTAGCGCTTGTTACCATAGTACCTGCACCTCCAAAACATTAATAAAGGAGACACTGCTCTGAGACAGAGAAATATCACCACTTCAGCTTTCACGATGCAGGAAATGGAGCTACATAAAGCTGGAATCAGTGGGAGCCTGAAAATAGTAGCCTGAGGTTTTTCCCAGATTAAAGACTGAGGGAAGTTACCAGTACAGCTCTGTTAAGTTCCTGCTCTGAAATTTGCCCTGGAGGAAACTTCTGCTATTTACTGGTTAAGCACAGAGCCTAGACAGTGTAAATATTCTAGCGCCATGCTGTTATCCTGAGCACAGCAGGAGTCAGCAGAGAGAGACAGTTTTCTTGTTTCAGAGACCAAAGTCTACAGAATCACAGAGTCATGGAATGGTAGGAATTGGAAGAAACCTTCAGAGACCATCTAATCCAACTGCCCTGCCTGAGCATGGTCACCCAGAGCAGGTTGGACAGGAACGCATGCAGGCGGGTTTTGAATATCTCCAGAGAAGGAGACTCCACCACCTCTCTGGGCAGCCTGTTCCAGTGCTCTGCCACCCTCAAAATAAAGAAGATTTTCCTCATGGTGAGATGAAATTTCCTGTCTTCCAGTTTGTGCCCATTGCCCTTTGTCCTGTCACTGGGCACCAATGAAAAGGATCTGGCCTCGTCATCTTGACACCCACCCTTTATATATTGATAATCATTGGTGAGATCCCCTCAATGTCTTCTCCATGCTAAACAGACCCAGATTTCCCAACCTTTCCTCATAAGAGTCTCCTGATCTTCTTCATAGACCTCCACTGGACTGTATCCCATAGTTTCTTGCTTTTCTTGATTTCCAGATGCAGCCTCACCAGGGCAGAGTAGAGGGGGAGGCATTACGTACTCAATTACATACTCAAAGGCATTTGAGTACGTAATTCCTTGAAACCAATAACACCTATGCAGCTAAATTCCTTCAGGAGAGACACAATTTATGTTGTTGTGGGATGCCGAAACAAAAGGAGACCAAGCAACTTGCTGTCAGGCCTAAGAGGAAGCTCATGTTGCTATTGACCCACCCATCTTCCAGTTTCCCAAGCAGTAGCTTTTAGTCAGTTGCTCATGATCACAAGCCTGAGCAGTTCCAGTGAGTTTCCAGCCCTCACAAAACCCAAAAATAAGTCTTGAAAATAATACCAGGCTACTTGGAATATAGGATACAGTGCCACAAGAAAGGGCAAACCACTTTCCAATCTCATCAGTATTTCTGTCTTTAGTGAAATAACACTCACTGACAACCACTTGTTGTAGCAGTTTTTCTTCCTTTTAGGGTCTTTGTCATCTGGGATGTCTAACTGTTCCTTTTCTAGGAGAAGACATTAACATCTGCTGTCATTGACCTCGACCTTCCTTACATAGTAATATTCTTGAAGCATTGCTTTCTGCAAGCACTTTGCACACTAAATCCAAGTAGTTGTATACTCAGGTTTCTTCTCTTGGAAAGTCATATTTTATGAGTAGTCATGTCCTTAGGCTTCATTGTCTAGGAGAATAAAAATAAATTATGTTTATGTCATCAAAAAACAATCCTGATGTTTTGCAGGCAGTTCTGTGACTCCCCCATGCATTGTATTTCAGAGTTGGGTACAATATGAAATGAAAAGTAGTTATATGGGAGCTTTCTTATTTAAAAACCATACTGTGGGTGTGTGTTCTTGTTCTTGCACACTTCTTTGCAGGTAAAATCTGTTTATTTTTAATTTACTTTTTATTGTACCAGTCTGAAACACTGGGCACTCCATAAAGTTTAAGACAACAACATCCAGCACATCATTGTTAAGCAAACATATAAATTAAACAAATTCATAAACCTCCAGATTATATTCCACAGTCATTGGCAGATCAGCCCACAAACCATTGGGCAAACTGCTTTATCTCTCCATATATTTGTTTATTCTTCCTTTCTTTCTCTGATTTATCTAAGTGGGATCTCATCTTTAAAGCAAGCAGTTCCTCTCCTTGTCATTTGCATGGTTCCTAGTGGAATTCACCGCTGATCTTTTCCTTGCAACAGCACAAATCGTGACTAGGGGTTCACTAATCCATAATGCCCCAGTTGCCATTTATCTCACCTGCACTAACACATCTCTACTGTAGATACGTCCATCTGAGCTGGTCAACTTTGACTTCATTTGCAGTCAGTATGGAGAATCATGTACTTTTGGGATATTAATTCCTCTGCTTTATTTTGGCTATCGAATTTAGGATATGATTAGTTTGTAATTTTGAAGGACAATGGGGTCAAAAGAAGATTAATTTGAGGATGAACACACCGTATTTTTTGTTTCTCTGTACTAACACTATAAATAGAAGGAGGAAGAGCAGCTACAAAAGATCTCATGTGAAAGGTGAGATTGATTGCTCTCAGCGGACAGTCAAGGGCATTCCCACCCCAATAAATCCTTCAGAAATTCTGACACAGAAGTCATGAAGGATGGTATCGAGGTGTTTCACAGTATCACTCACTCTGTTCCAGCTGTCTGGGACCTGACCAAAAGTAGAGAAAGCATTTTTTTGAGACCTTTTTGTTTTGAGTGTGAAAGAGATGAGAGAAATGGAAGCTTTGCCTTTCCAAGGACGCCTTTCCAAGGATGGCTCTTCAGATGGTATTAACAGGTGTGACTCTTTCAAAACCATGAAAATACTATGCATCAGGATCTAACTTAGTGTCTTTTTTTCCAAGCAAATATATTTGCAGGTTAGAGGAAAGGGCAGAGGGTGCCAGCTGAAACAAAGGAAAAATTCCAAATACCAGCACTTTTCATGGTATGATCTCTATATTCCACAACGGCAAACAACTGTATGATGGAGTGTAATATTTGAATTAAACAAACATATTTTGGCAACTTCTGAATGTAATTTCATTATTTTAAAGATAATTTTATTATTTTAAGCATGTGACTCAGATTTTTTTGCAGTTAAAAGAAGCTAATATTAGCAAATGAAAGAATCTGAAATATACTAATAAGGCTCTTTGTTATTTTGCAACTACTTGTGCAAAACTGCCAAAGGAGAAACTATTTGCTGATGATCAATGCAGTATGTTCACTGCACCACAGAAGGCAACTCTCCTAATTTCATTTTAGCCAGAGTATGAATTCCACTTCAATGTTTATTTGTAAATATCAAGATGATATGTACCAGATCTTTTAGATGATACTGTTCCTGAAACAATAGTTATCTGTGATTACAAGATTGAATTAACTTCAATTTCATCATCATCTAACTCTGCTGAAATGTATGAATACATCTCCCTTGATAGAAGCTTGCATCAGTCATTTCCAGGCATTGTGTTTTTGTTTCTGAGATACAACAAGATACAACAAATAACCCTCTAAAACCTTTTTTTTTTTTTTTTTCCCCCCCCCAAAAAAGCACCAGGGGACAATCATCATCTAACTCTGCTGAAATGTATGAATACATCTCCCTTGATAGAAGCTTGCATCAGTCATTTCCAGGCATTGTGTTTTTGTTTCTGAGATACAACAAGATACAACAAATAACCCTCTAAAACCTTTTTTTTTTTTTTTTTTCCCCCCCACAGAAAGAATCAAGAGGAGAAAAAATACTTCTCTGGATGCGTCTGATTGAATTGTAATGTCATTACACTGACTGTTAAAGCCTCAGATTTTGCTTCTTAATTTTTCAATTTGATTTTTGATTTTTACGCAAATTTCTACTTAATTAAAACCATTGAGACTTTGTTTTTAATTTCCAGGTGAGGTTGATTTTAATTGTCTTCAGCTACCCAGAATTAAATTTTTACCTAGTCTTCTCCAACTGGATGTGGTCGCTACAATAAATCATATATTTGATTAGCTGCCCCATCCTAAAATAAATGTTTGTGGTAGAAGAAATCATCTTTTGATGAAAGGTATGTTTTCTTATCACTGACAATAAGGAAAGTTAGACTTACTCCAGCCAGTTGACTCTCAGTTAGTTTAAGTTGCATAAGAGGAATCCCACCTTTAACAGAAACATATCTGGAAATGCTTCCAGCAAACCATGGAGTCCCAAGGCATGCTCTGAATACCCAGTACTTGTCAGAGAACTACTGCTGGTCTGAGAAGGTACAGAAAACAAATAAAATTCAGGCATGTAAGGCTATAAATAAGCTGTTTAATAAATCTGAATACCTTGAGACTTAGAGTAGTTAGACTGATCTACAAAAATAAGAACCTTCCAGCCTTGTTCCTGCTGATCTAGTGCCAGAGAAGAGAGACAGCCCACTCCACCCCAACATTGTGGATGTCCAAGGCATGGGAGACATCAGCCAGAACCTACACCTGCCCTTCGAGTGAAACAGACTGCTATCCCAGCTCCTAAAACTTTAGGAGGATCAAGGTCTGGGCCTGAGTTTTGCACATCTGGATCAGATCGAGAATGAAAGTTCATTTTTTAGAGGGAACACAGGATGTCGAGTAACTAATCTATGATTAAAATCCTGGTGTTTTTTGGGGATGAGGGGAACAAATCACTACTTTTTCCCCCCTCTTTCCTCAAATTACCAAACTCTTTCCACTCAAGCTGTATACTGTAGTGGCTTACAGTATGCTCAGCATTGTCTAAGCACAGAAGTGAACACCAGGAATGCCACTGTTGGAAGGATCTCACTTCTTATTTCCTTTAATGTAACAGTACTACCAACCCTTGGAAGTCAAGAATGAGTTGGATGTTGGATAAATAATGCTAATATTGCACAATATATGAAACGCTATTGCAAATAGGTGCTTAGGGACAGATGTCCCACGTGAAAATTATGCTACGGATTGAGGTATTTCCTTCCAGAAGCACTAGTATTATTTTATTTTCCTTTGTGATGGAAAGGAACTTCTTGAGAAGCTGCTGTTTACAACATTTATGGAAAAAGGACTCAGCCTCCCATTTATAACTGCAAGGCAACACAAATGCCATGGAAAAGCAGTCTCCAAAACAGAGGCAAACAGCTTTTGGACTGGCCACCACTGACTTTAAAGCGTCACAGAAGCAGCTGCTTCTGAATATCCTTTTAAGCCCATTGAGCCTTGATCCAGCTGTTAAAAATAACAATGTTTTTCATCCTCCATAATAATCGGATAGAGCAGGGCAGTGCTGGAGGAGCTGTCGTTACATAACAAAAAAGCACCGCAGCTCCCAAGGCAGGGAGATCCCGGGGGGTTCTGTGCAGTAGCCTCCAACCACTGCTCCCACCAGAGCTCTGCGCTGGCAACAGCATCTGCTGAAGGACTCTGACAAACAGCAGCGTGGCTTTGTGCTGTGCCTGGATTTGGTGTCCTCACTGCCCTTCTGGGTGGGAAGGTCAGGGAAAGAGGCTGCGTGTCTGTGCCTCATCAGTTGCACCTCGCAACGTGGCATTTCATCTTAATCCTCTGGTGACAATGGTTTTGTAATGATATTCTGCAGCAGTTGAGTCCCTGCTCTGCATCCAGCAGAGAGGCACAGAACAGAGCTGGGGCAGTCGCATCTCCCAGTGCCATGGATGCAATCACAGCAGTTGCCTCTCAGAGCCCCTCTTTTGTTGTCTGGATCTCTGTAGCTGAGTGCCAACAACCACCCTGAGATGATGCACCACCTTCCTTTCTCCTGCCTCCCCGGGAGCCAAATTGGCAACCACCTGGGATACATTCCTGAGGTCACATTTTCACATCAAGAGATCAGAAGCTGCCCAGCAGCAAAGCACTTAAGCACAAGCACAACCTGAAACATTCAAGCAATCCCTCTGGAAGCCAGGAGGACATTTCACACTGTTAAGTGCTTCTCTGGATTGGTCTCAGACTGAGCTTGAACTTTGCTGTTTTACTTACCATAAGATTAACTAAGGATGAAAGAAAGTGGAAACAGCTAAAACTTTCCTTTTAAAGAAGCTGAAAACGAAGACAAATATTTCCCTGAAGATTTATCAGCAGTAAGGTTAGAGAAAGTGGGGTGGAAAGATATGAGACCTATTTCCACAGGAGTTTCTTACCTATTTTTAGCAGCAAACTTCAGCTGATATTTCTTTGTGCGCTCAGAACTATACTACACATTGCAGTTGGGGTTTTCAGGATGTAAAAATCCAGAGGCAACTGGCAGAGTAATAGCTCTTTTAATTAAGAGAAATTAATTCAACTGATCTTAACCAAACGTGCATAGGCAAGATAGGGTTTGTTCTATGATTATCTCATGCCAGGAAAACTCCAAAGAGTTGAGAGAGAAGACACTTATCCAGTGAAACACCTGATAAATTCATCACACCTCAGGGCATTTTTCGGTCTTTGAAGTCACATCAGCCTGGTTTGCACGAAATGCCGTGGAGATTGGCATTGGTAGGCACTCGGAAAATGTGTTTACCTCCTCAGAATTACTCTCCTTCTCCAATACTGACCGTGACTGAAGCCAGACTGTTGCTGGGGAAACTGCTCTGTGAGGGCCCTTTTGGCTGATGTAGATTGTATAGGAAGCATCCAGGCATTTTGGGTACTTACCCGTACACCACAAGAACATGGAAGAATTCCCAGTTTGCAGAGTACACACCAGGTCCACACCCTCTGAGTATCTTGAGAAAGAATTTAAAAGAAAAGAAGTTGGTTTGCAAAGACTTCATATTAAGTCAAGCAGAAACCTGGAGGTTAACACTGGGCCATTTATCTGTTTTCCTCTAAGGCAGCCTGTCTCTGATCTTCAGTGGTACCCACCCACAGGCAGAGCCAGGAGGAGGATTGCCAAAATCTGTGTTGTTGAATGTGTAGTAGATAGATTAAAGGAATGGTCAGTCTGAAGCATGTGCCTTCAGATGGGTAAGTGAGACTGTTCCTTGTCATCTGAAGGCTTTGGAAGAAAGAAACGTTGGAAGCTAGTCAGCTCCAGAAAATATCCAAGTGCAAGTAAGAAGAGTATCTTAGGACTTCCTGAAAGTGCTTGATAAGTATCACCAGTCTATATATGCAGCTGACAAGCCCACCAAGCATTTATCTTCTGTCTTCAGTTCTGCATGGGGTGCTGGGCTCTGCCTGAAGCTATGACTTCAGTGAGACCTCCAAGAAAGCAAACCTACCTCAAATAAAACCTTATGGGTTTTGATTTGTCAAAATCAGGAGAACTCAAAATGGCATATTTCATACAGCCCTGGTATTTCCCTTCCTCCTGCCTGCAGTTTTCTATCATCTAGGGTACCATTTGCTCAATCTATTACAATGCACGCTTGATTTCAGTCCCCCACTTTGCGACCTTACTGCATTTACTTCCCACAAAGGATCATAATATAAATCACGAGGTCAGGGAATAACGAATCTAGTATTTTTAAAAAGCCTCACACATACAGGCAGGATATCGACTGATGATTCAGCAGGTGATGGGCTATAGTAAGGGGACATTTTTTCCTTTAATTGCTGTTGAAAAGGGAAAAAGGAGCAAGAAAAATCCTTAGTTTTCTGAGACAAGGATCTTAGCTTCACTGGGCTTTCATTCACTAAAATCATCTAATAGGCTTGAGCATAAAAAGCTGGACAAAGCTAAAACGATAAACTGGTGAAAGACTCCAGCATGACTGTCTCTTTCCAATCTGAAGGTTGATTCAATGTGGTTCTACCATTATGTAAATGGGGAGAAAGGGCTGACCTAGTGGTCTGTGAACTGAAACGGATGCAGGATCTCCTGGTTTCTAACCCCATCTCTGCCAGACCTGTTTGCCTATGACCACAGGGGTAAATACTCAAGGAATCACAAACACAAAGGCCAGAAGGGACCACTAGAGTCACCTCACTGAACTGTTGCAAAACCTATTATGAGGCACTTTTGCCCAGTAATTTCTCCACTGAGCTAGTTAGTTCTTTGAGCAAGGTGAGGGTCACCAAGGAGACTCTTGTGGCAAGCATGGCTGGCAAGGGCAATGGGTGGATCATGTTTTCTTTCTCAAATTAGAGGTTAAAGATGCTCTGTAGAAGGCAGTAGAAACTTTCTATGAAGCAACGTGCAGACAACATTCCTATCAGCAGCACCCCGTGTCTGAGTGAGAGGGAAACTCCCAGTTCCTGCCCACCCATCGGTGGGAACAGAATCATCATCTCTTAACAAGTTCATTCCTATCCATGGCAGCTGCCAAGTCCACCCCTGTTCCAACCCAACTGCGTCATCCAGGGCCTGCATTCACGCCATCTCCAGCTGTTGACCCTACAGCAACAAGATGTTAAGCTTTGCTAAAGAACCTACAGTTCTTGCAGGTAGATTTTGTAATAACTAATTCTTTCACTCCACTTGGGAGGAAAATCAGAGTCAACCTGGTGATTCATGACTTTTTATCATGAAAATTTTTTCCAGTCTTACTATTCCTTGAAGTAAAAGTTAATAGATAACATGCTGCCAAAAGGGCAGGGAAATGCATTGGGTGATGCAGAAATGATAATGTTTTGACTGACAAAAAGTAACATGTTAAAACACCCTGTGCACAGATGTTAAAGAATCTGAAGGAGCTGACTGGTCATTTCTCCAGTGAAACTATGCTGAATTGTTTCAATTTACAGTAGTTTTATGTAACGTGTTGTTTATGGTATGTAAATCCAAGGAATCCCCCCTTTTCTGAGAATAAGTATCAGATAAGCCCGAAAAAACTCCCGTTCACCCACCACTTTGCAGAAGTTGCTTTATTCCTTGAAATAAACAAAACCACAACAAAAACCCTCCAAAGCTAAAACACACACAGCC